AGGCATTCCCGATTTCATGCATTTCCCCAGTAAAGGACGAGACCACCATACTGGGAGAAGTGCTCTGTCAGGCACGACAATCCCAAGCCCCCTCCCACCAATAATATCTTTCCACCCCCTGCTCCTCCAAACTCTCTTTTCTCTGCTCCTTCTTGCATAGACCCACAGCACTGTCTCGAATTCCACATCTTGAAAAAAATAATTGGGGGTGGGTCTTGTCTCTGAAAACAGCTGCTTTTTGAGGCATTGGCAGGTCTAGGAAATGCAGTTGACGCCTATCCCCCATTTCAGGGCCTTTCAGTACCACTGAACTTGAAACCTGCAAGCAAAAAGACGTGCGAAGTGGCGCCAGGCAGGTTTCAGCAAGGAAATTGTTCCCCATATGGGGCAGCCACTGAGAAAGCCCTGCATCTTGCTGCTGTCCTCTGGCTCCCCACCCCACCCCCCAATGCTGGATGTAACCCCATAATATTTGATTCTAAGGTCCTGGAAAGAGAGGTGAAACTGTCTGGACTTTCAAACAACAGGTCCACAGAAGAGCTTTCAAGATACTTTCAAACCTGGCAAGGAGTTTGTTCAAGGAAAGAACGAACGAGGAATTGTGTATGAGAAATGCCCTGGAGAAAACCTGTGGCTTTCTTTGCATCCCGCATCCTTGAAGGCAGGGAGGGAGCAGGAGGCAGGGATACTGTGAGACCGAGGCCCAGTTCCAAATTTATTTCCTAGGGGTCCCGTTCTATTAGCCAGATCTCGGAATGTCCACATGTGAACACAGAGATTAATCGCCATACTATGAGTTTATGCAGACTTGACCTGTGTCTTTTCAGTGCCTCGCAATGGCCCTGCCTCGGGATTACGGTAGGATCAGAAAATGCAGCCAGAGAAGCTGTTTTTGGAAAACAGTCCCTGCCCAAGACGTCGCTTTTAAGGAAGAAAGATGGCCTCGTTCCTTGCAGAGATGTGGTTGTTTATAGAGCTAGAAAAGAGGAAGCAGCTGTTCGCAGTTATTAACAACTGCAAGCAGACAGCCTGGGGGCTGCCCAGTCCCTTCTCCCAGGCTCAGTCAAGTTTTTCCTCTTTCGAAAAAATTAAAAGGCAGGTGCTCAAATAGAACCAAATGCAATCCAAACCAGGGACAAAACTGGTCTTTCAAAGCAGTTCCAAATTTTTCCTCAGTCCCTGGCCTGATGGCAGCAGCATTTCCAATACATCCGGGGAGAAAGCCTTCCTTCCAAAAGTCACTGCAGAGTTGTGTCCCCCCCATCCTGGTGCCACCTCCTTTCTTCCACTGGAAGTATTACCCAATGGTTATATCTTCCTCGAGCCGCATCCTGAATCTGGGGCTGGAGCAGAGGCACTAAGCCCATCTGGGTCCCATCCTGATCTTCCTGATCTCCTTCCAAAGCCTTCCCCCAACTGCCCCCCATTGGATGATTCCCCAAATTTTTACACATTTCCTCCCATTCTGAAAAGCTGGAATGTCTTTCCAAAGGTTTATTTACAGGCAGAAATAGTTTTGCACCAGACCTTTGGACCCGTGTCCCAACTGGAGTCCACCCAGAGAAAAGCTTTCATAATTTCTTTGCAGCATGTAATTCTTTTCGGTGCCCTGCTGAAACCATCTGTATTTCAGGAAACCTCCCTAAACTAGCCAGCCGCATGTCAGTTTTGTTTTAATGTAATGTTTTATTCAGTTTATCTGATTTATCTTTTGTATCACTCATCGCTACAGAATTGCCAAACAGGAATACCAGTGGTAGATAAATTGTATGCATCAACAAATATGTTGGCATTCTTCATACTTCGGCTGCAGCCCTTTTCCTTTTGGCACCACTTATCAATGCGGCCTCTCTCCAGCGTCTAAAAAATCGAATTTGGTCTCTGCCTTGCACTGAAAGAAGCTGAACGCCCTCTGGGATGGAGGATTGGAGGACAGTGGGTACTGGAAGCAGAATCCTCCATGAAGATCTTTGACATGCGTTGGAATGAGAAGGTTTTAAAAAGACCAGAGACCAAAAGAAAGCGGGGAGGGCTCGAAATTGGGAGAGGGGCTGGTACAGAAGCCTGAGTGAGGGGGAAGAAGCATCAAGACTGCAAAAATAAGAAAATAAAAATCAACACTTGGACAATCTCTGTGCCAGAACCCACTAAAATGTTGCAAACTAGTAAACAAGCTTTGTATTCTAGGAGCTTTCCATCAGACTGAGAGCTAGACAAGTGTTTGGAGGGGACTTTCTTAAAGCTGCAAAGTCTGCATTGGAAGCTTAAGTGTGCAATCCTATGCACGTTCAAGAGACTGCAGCTCTTACACTGAAATTATATACATTTCTCCTTCAAATTAAGACCCACTTAATTCAATGTGAATGAATGCTGCATGTACATGTATGCACCGCCTCAGCTGGATTAGGTTCTACCCACCCAGGAGTGAGAAGCCCATTGGACTACAACTCCCATTATCCCTGACCATTGGCCATGCTTGCTGGGGCTGATGGGAGTCGAGCCCTGCCCTTCCAGAAAGCACTAAGTTGGAGGAGATGCGCCATCTCTACACTGCACCGTGGATATACAAGACAGCTGAGATTGCTAATAAAAGGAATTTAGCCACCTTTAGCTGCATTTTTAGTGTTTGTTTTGCATAGCCAATTACCCTACCTTCATGCCTTAAAGCATGTGCAGAGTGCATTTCCCTCACTACTGCGTATTACACCTGGGATTTGGAGAAATGGCCTACAGGCCAGACCTTACCTGCTTCCAGTGAGGTCTGAGCATGAGTCTTAATTTAAAAAAAAAAAAAAAACCTGACAGGCACTCTGCATATGCTCTGGTCTCTCTTCCTCGTGGCAAGTTCCCATTTTGCCACGACTGGGCTCAGGCATAGAAGACAGGGCAAACTACGCCTTGTCTCTTACGGACACTCCCCAGTTCCCTGCTGCCGTCTTCTTGCCACCCCCCAGACGCTGCAGGTTTCTTCTGGTGTTCTTAACTGCCGTGTGATGGATCTGTGTGATGGACCAGGATCCAAGCAACCCAGCTTTTCCCTGACGTGGAGATGAAATGATGGGGAAGAATTACCCTGTTAAATTGCTGCCTAAATTTCGGTGCCTCCAGCGGTTCTGAAATTGCACACCCACTAAAGTAAGGCCGCCTTCCACCTGCCCTTTTCTATGATGTTTGCTCTACATACAGGAACACAAGGGTTACTTCACTCATCTCTGATTGCTCAAGGCATAGAAATACTGGAGAAAGATTAAGAGGGGATAATAAAGGGAACCAAAAGTATCGGGCCATGAAATTTCCATCGACCCTGGGCTCTGTCGGCTAAATTGCACCCCATGATTGGTTCACTGTTCACAGAAAGAGTTACATTATATACAGTAAATCGGCCCTTCTACATGTGATTTGTTAAACTCAGTATGGCATTTAGCAATCAGGGCAAAATTAACATACTATATTAGAGCAAACAGCAAATAGCAGCTCTGGGACAAATCAGCCGAAAATTGGTCGCACTTGATGTTCTAGAATTAATTCAATAAATTCAGATTTTTATTTTGGTTTTTTAGTTATACGAATCTGCATTCAGCCGTAAGAGATACACGTGAGATCAGCCTTGTCTTTTGTCATGAGCTCTCTTACAAATGTAATAATAGAAATGGTGTAATGATGGAAGTTGACATCGATTACTACATTGCTAATTTTTATATCAAAAGATTTCTTTGGAACTTATGCATTGTTGTAATTAATAATAGTTACACTTTAAAAATTGCTCCCTTCTGCTTAGTTGCATTTGGGGCTTAAAATTACCCTTCTTAATAAGATCAGGAGACACAGAAATGGCTTACTTTACTTCCCAAACCACAACCTGGAGCCCTCAAAATGTTTTGGACTTCAACACCCCTCAACCCCAGCCATCATGGCTTATGGTAAGGAATGTTGGAAGTTTTAGTCCAAAATATCTGGCTCTCACTAGGTTCAGGAAAGCTGAATCATCACCACCACATTGCTGTGTAGGATGGGGATGATGGGAGTTGTAATCCAGCACCTCTGAGAACCACCAGGTTGTTATGAAGCTGCAAGGCAGGATGGCCTAGTGGACAGAGTGCTGGACCTGGGCAGGTTTCACAGCCCCTGCTTGGCTAGGACATTTCCCGGGTGACTTTGGGCCAGTCCCTGACTCTCAGCCTAAGCTACCTCGCAGGGTTGTTGTGAGGATAAAAATGGGGAAGAGGAGGACTAGGTCCGATGGGATATAAACAGACAAAGTCCAGAATAAAAGCTCTGGGAAATAAAGCAAACTTCACCTGGACCAGAAACCTCCCGTGAGACCAGCGAGTGCGGTTTCCGTGCGTGCCTTTCGGGCAAGCGTCCCCCGCGAGACCCGCCACAAAAGAGCCAGAGGGAAACCGTGGCTAAACCGTGGCTGGGCCGGGGCAGGGGCGCCGCAGGCTCCAGCCCGCAGCTGGGTCCGCTGGGCGCCGTGCGGCGATCCTACCCTACGGGGTTGTCGTTGTCGTTGTCGTTGTGAGGCTGCCCCGTTCCCCACAAGGGAACGAGCTAGCGCACGACCTCTCCAAAAACGCTCCATCGCGCCGCGAGCGTGGCCGGCAAGAGAGGCGCCGGGCAAAGCGGGCAGCGCCGCCGCTTCGCCCCCGGCGTTGCGCGCCCGCTCCGCTCGCCTCCCTGGCCGGTACCTGCCCGGAGGCCGCCCCGGCCGCGCGCCCCGCCCCGCCCCGCCCCG